ATGGCTTCAGGCATATGGCGAAAATATAGTGCGCCTTGCAGAACATAAATGCGAAATTTATATGGATAAATGTGACAATACACATGTAGAGTAAGAGTACAAAATGTGATATGGATAAATGTAAATATTAATTCTACGTGCGTGACTTATTTATTTAAATAATTACTATATTTTTCGTTGAATGACGCAATTTTTAAACCCCCTAATATTTTCTTATCTTTTTTTTTTTAACCAAATGAAATAACAAGTGACACAAACGAATACAAACGAAGTACGAACAAAGTACATTAAGCTTATTTATTTTTTATAAAGTTATATGTCAAGTTCTTATCGATGAACTAATATTCCTACTCCAATAACATGTATTAACCTGATAAGTTTCTTGTGTTTTCAGATGATACAAGAAAAGCAAGAAAATGATTAGATGTATTTAATGGCTTTTAAACAGTTTCATACACATTCTGCACAGATAATAAATCTAAAATAATTTGTTCCTTTTTTCCAGTTGACGTCTACGTGATTTCGTCATTCTGTGTAATTTTAGATGTAAACGATATGAATGACAGAACAGAATAAATGGAGAATGTTACAATCAACGTAAGATCTACTTACTAACTGTATTTACTCGGAATCGCGTTTATATTCGATTTTTCAAGTACATTACCTATGATCTGTTTTACACCATGATTATATCAGGTAGGGAAGCATGAGCCTGGCTTAATAGAGACGTAACGCCATACACAGTCACGTTACACAAAGCAGGAGGCTGAGTCACGACCGATCAATGTTACACGCGGTAGGCTCAACCTCCGAACCCTTTTTTGTCTTTTATCTATTGATAAGTCAATCAATCGAGATCGATCGCCTTTATCCGATCACGTCCGTCGGTGAGATTTATTTTCGTTTCTAATTAATGATACGTAAATAAAAACATGATATTTCTCGTTGTCGATGTTGATATCGAGCAATACTTAAAAAAACTATCTTTAATTAAATTACAACTTCAACATTTTTTTTAACTTAGGCATTAGATACTCAACAGGTGACATCGGGTGATGATTCTATAAATAAATCTATCATTTATTAAACCTCAATTAAGAAATGTAAAAAAATGTAAAAAAAAATATCCCTGAGGAATCTCTAATTGGGAGACATGATGCAATATCTCCGCGATACGTTTCGCGTAATTTATATTATATATTGGACGTAGAAGACGTCCTCGAGGATTTGGATTAGCAGATTTTTATTCACGGCATCTGGAGAGCAGCCATATTTTATACGCAAGTTATGCGTCTCACGTTGTACATTATTTTTCCGGCTTTTGTCCGGCGAATTTAATGCCCAGTGCCAGCCGAAATATCTCGGAAGGGAATCAAAGTACCGTGTCTCTTTCGTTGTACACGGACTTGAAGGACGCGCGCATAAGTACCTTATGTTCCCACGCTGGAGCAGCCTCGAGGGCTTCCCATTCCGCTATCGGCTCCTCACATTGCCGCGGTATCATGTAGGTATGTACGTATCTTCTCTTGAAGAAGGCGCATGTACAGGGTGTACCGGTGAAAACATATTGAGCCGTGGTTTTCGTGAGGTGAATTAACAAACGCCAAAGAGAGACGATCGAGAGAAAAAAGTGTCTGCGCTTCGAAAGACCTTTCATAAATATCCGTCCGTCGATAATCGATCTTACATTGACTTGAAAGTGGAAAAAAAAAAATGGAAAAAAAAATCGCAACGCGATTTCCATCGTTCGGAATATACATCGGACGATGGAAATATGACGCGATGGTTCGATTAAAATAACATGGTCGTTATATTATCCGTTGATTATCTGAATTAAGCCTAATACTCACCTCGCAAACCTTTCCTTGTCCTGCACATTATCATCGTCTAGTCTTCTATATTTACAACCACTCGGATCATCCTCGTCGGATCTTTAAAATAAATCAAGGACAACCTGTTAGTTTTTATTATGACGTTATTTCAATAGTTAATTGTGTCATTTTTAAAATAGTGTTATTAAGAAGACTTGCAACTCTTAAGTCTATAATCGTTATTTTTGTTACGTTGTAGTCGCATAGCTTTCCTCACATGTATTATATCTATACAACGATAACGCGATGATAATGATACCGTTAAGAGTTATAGAATAAAATTTGTAATTTGGTACTTAGATACTACTTGGGTGTCGATATTCACGTATCATCGCACAATACGAAAAGATAGGAAGTGAGAAGCGGCAATAAGGCATGAATATCTATGTATCAATTCTAAGTCCAAAATTACAAATGTTAAACAGCACTGACTTAAGGATAAATATATTCTATTTTTATATACAATGAAAAAAATTATGAAAAAAATTATAAATTATTCTAGCATTTAAATTATAACAAATTTTGCGGCTTAAAATTTGGATCGAAAATTATTTAAATATAAAATAGAAATGTATTTTATAGAAATATAATTCAAAAATAATAAACATTTCAATTTCTTTAAGTATTTTAAGTATTCAAAGTGATTTATGTAAAGTTTCATTATAGAGATGTAGAGATTGATTGTTCTGTAAATAAAATTTAAATTTTTATGAGTATATTTTTACGAGAGTACAAATGAAGCAAGTGATGAAACAAATAAAATAAACAAAAACAAATAAAATAAAATTTTTATTTGTACATCTTTTGATTTTGGATTATGCATAATTTATATTTCAGATATAATTATTAATTAAATAAAAGAAGAAGAAGATTTCAATACATTTTACGGGATCTATTATTGTAATCTTATATATTATCTTATTAAAACGTATTGTCATTAATATATCTGAAAAAATTTTTATAGTATATTTATTCGTATTATTTTTATAGTATATTTTATCGCTTCTGACGTTATAATTTAAATAGTAATGATGAATGAATAGGAATCTTAAACGCTTTTATGAAATGTTATTCTATAAAAATTACCAATATTTGAAGACAAATTAAATCAAATGATGGATGAAAAAAATGTGTTCTAGTCCGAAAGAGACAAATGGCTGTGGATAGTCTAGTTCAATACTCGAAAGGAACAAATAATAGAAATTCACGTGCGTCGCCTCATCCATACGTAAAGCGTAATTGTTTCCGGACTGACAAACGTGACTGTAACGTTCCAAAATTGGTCACTAGGAGGATCGTCGTCGGGCTTTCCCTCCTCAAATCTGGAGCGGTCATAACAGTAAGTGACGACGAGAATCTCGTTCACGATATTCACACCTATTCATTCGACAGCTACCGGCTTTTTCATTTAACCCATAACGATGGGTTGGCCATTATGGTGATAATCTTTCGAATATTTCGAGAGGAGAATAATTGTCAACTATCTTATTCTATTGTGACATCACATTAGTTGCATTAATATAATGCGATATAATATAATCGTTGAACAATTAATGATTAATAAAATTTTTCAGAGAAAAAGTAATAATCTCGACTATCGTTGTGTTAGACGACATATCATATACATATGGAAATTTTAGATTTTTTCTTAATTCTCACTCATTTCATGATGTAACACGTCAAACCTTGATTAAACCTTGATAAGGTAAATATCATACCTCGATACATATTCATTAAATAATTATTCATCCGATATGTCTACACATTTTTAATTTTTAGAGGCCCTAAATGAAGCACGTGATTATCAGATTGATATCGACCGATCGCGCTGAATTCACCGCAGGAGTCCAAGAGCAAGAGCGTTTAAGAGCCGTTTCAAAGAGTATAATGGGAGAGAAGGAAGGATGGACGCGCCGTTTCTACTGAACGCGATAGAAAATTATGCTCTCATTGCGAGAGCAGACTCCACGCTCGCGCGCAGAAATCCGGCCAATCGTCAGTCTATATCGCGCAGCGTCCACACGGGTGATGTACGATTCTGACCCTGAGCGAAAAAGCGAGACCCCTTTACTTACTGGCAACCCCTCCACCCGCCGGCTTTCTGCTTCGCCCTGTCCCGCCCCTACCCCTCTCGTACCCCTCCGCGAGGCTTACTCGCTGGTGAACGTCGCGTTGAAGAGACGGCGTACAGCCTCTTTGCCCCCCCCCCCGCTCCTTTCGTTTCCCCGTCACAAAGTTCATAGGACCCAACGGATACGAAGTGGGGGATGGTGTAGGGCCGGCAGCGAGTGTATCCGGGTATCGCAAGCGCGCGGGGGATTTCAGCAAGGTCCCTGTTCCCTCTTCGTCTCTCTCGCCGTCATTTTCCTGCGCGGGAACCTTCTCGATTCCCTTTGTCCCCACGTTCTCCACGTTCCTTTTTTCCTGCTCCTCTTCCTTCTCGCGAGAGCAAAAGGAACGAGAGAGAAAGAGAGGAAGAGCGGGAGAGGGGGGGGGGGAGGGAGTCGCGGAGACCTATGGAGTACATAATGATGCGCCCCGCGGTATTACGTCGACTTAACGGACGCGTATGCGTGCTTCGCAAGCGATGAAGTCGAGACGACGACGTCGAGAAGTATTCGCGGCGGGCGGGCAAAGCCTCAGAAGTATGCTGAAGTTTTAGAGAAAAAAAAAAAAAAAAAAAGATTTGATCGTGATGCAAATCGATCATGTGAACATTCGCTATGATTGAAGAATAAAGTTATAATTTCCGCATCTCTACACGAAGAGAACAGTTTTGCTGGCAAATCTAAAAATTTGGTTAAATACAGAACTGAAAATAATTTGAATCATTAAAATTATTTTGTAAGACTCTTAAAATAGTAATAATAATACTGCAAAAATTTTTCACTCCCTAATAACCGTAATTTAAAAACCGTATATTATAAAGTTTTGAAAGTTCAACAAAATTATTTTTAAATTTGTATCTGAAATTTGTATCTAATTTTCAGATTTACCAGCAAAATTATTCTCTCCGTGTAAGAATGCTAATATCTCGTTCATTGTTTTAATTACATAGTAATTTGTTATAAGAGATTTGTTGTAATATAAGTAATAATAAAATCTTTTATTTTGTACTTGTAATGATTTTTTAATATAAATTTCATTATCGTTAACATATAATTGCACAGTTATTTTGTGATACATTTTGTCTGCACAAAAATTTGTAACACATGTGTGATGTGTACTAAATATCATGTAAATTTAATTCACATTTATATACAAAATTTTTGAATAAACGAATATATGAAAAAAATAGAATTATAAAGTCGACTCTCTCTCTCTCTCTCTCTCTCTCTTCCTTCTTTTTCTGTTCTGGATCAGAAAAATGCGTTCAAGTACGTCGTAAAGGTAGAGCAACGATAAAGTGAAAATTATGGGTAAAAAGACAGCCGAAGGCGAGAGAGAGATAAATATGTGACAGGGAGATATATGAAGCGCATAATGATGCGTAGCGCAGTATTACGTCGACTTAATAGGTGTTTCGCAAATAGAAACCCTCGCATAGTAGGTTTAGCGACTCTATTCGGGATATATTTATGACGAGCAAGAAGTTCAGTTTTTCAATAATGTCCAATATCTGTACACGCTATATAAAAAATTGTCGAGAGTTAAAATGTAAAAATAACAATTATATTTTGTCAGAACGGTTTATTTTAATCATAAAATTGCTCATCAATTTCTTGTTTAACCTTTACTGTCATGTCTTGGTCATTATATATTGTCAGACATTAAGCCTATAATATATGGATATTTGACATATATTTCCTTGTACAAAAGTGTAATGCAAGTATTAATTTATAATTAAATGTCATATTCAACATATTCTAAGGTTGCGTGTTAAATCGTTAGTTATTAGCAGATATTTCTCGTCAATTAAAAAATTCTGAAATTGATCTCGAAATTCCAGCAGAACTTAGGTAAACATGTAACATTATCGATCGCTGATAAAAATCGTTAATTATAATTGCGAAAAGCAACTCTCGATCGAAAAAAATATTGTCACTTATTTCGGTATGTATTTTCCTGTTTAAAGAAGTAAAGGTATAATTATAAAAATCTGTTCAATACAATTACATTCTAGATTAAGGTTTTCAGCAGAACAAGCAATACGTTTAATCTTTCAATTTCATCTAAATCTTTTTCTCGAGAAGTTTTCCGAAAATTTCATTGAGAATTTAATTAAAGAAATGCACGTTTTGCGTTCGTCGAAGAACGCATCCTTGAGAAAATGGATATTTAAATCTATAAATCCAAGATGTATGATTTCGAGGTCGTTCTGCCATTACGGTAGTTTGGTTTTTAATATCGAGCGATTTGGGCGGTCCAATCCGGAATTTTGGCGGCGCCGATTGAAGAACAGACGGAATACATAGTTAGGGTTGCTCTTTCTCTCCCCCCCTCTCTCTCTCTCT